ACCATAAACCCACAGAGCCGGGGGGTGTGATTAAGCTGTCACATAAATGATACTTACCATCCCCTCACCACCACCTTCCTGTCAACCTTTATTAAATAAGTCATCATTTATCTGACCGACTCAACCAGGGATCCGAGTTCTTCAAATAAAAATTCAAATATGTTTTTTTTTTATCTCTCAAACAGGAAGCGAACACGTCTAGTTACGAGGTTATTTTGATCACCTATCGGGGCGTAGCATAATGTGGGTCGTTAATGTAAACAGCCACTAGGTGATTCTTACGTTATATATATTTCTTTGGTGTTGTGTGAATTTATCTACGACTCAAACAATACGATTCAGGAGATAGGATTTAAGACTTGTTGTATCGGATGTATTTTCTTCGTTATTAATGTATGAATCATTGAGGCGGAGAGGTGGAGACTGACGATACTCCGCCCCCTCACTTACTTCCTCACTCCGCTGTTCACATCCTCACTCCACCCCTCACACCCTCACTCCGACCCTCACACCGTCCCACACACAATCACTTGGCCCCCTCACACCCTCACACCGTCCCACACACAAATCACTCTGGGTTCCCCACACCACCTGCCTCACACCTCACCCCTCACACCTCACCTGCCCTCACACATTCCCTCACACTGCCCATCACACCTCACCTGGGCTCCCTCACCTGCCTCCATCACACCTGTTCAATCTCATTCGCCCTCACCTGCCTCTCACATCCTCACTCTGTTCCCAACACACCTCACCCGCCCTTCACACCCTCACTCCGCCCTTCACACCGTCACTCCGCCCCTCACTCCGCCCTCACACCCTCACTCCGTCCATCACACCCTCACTCCGCCCCTCACACCCTCACTCCACCACCACTGAGTTAAACACTTTTAATTTCATCAACAAACTACTGTGAGTAATTCTGTTGTGTCCCGTGTTAAATAAATGATGTAATTATATAATCACGCCGGGAGGGAGCGTAAAGAAGACTCAATCCCTCATGACTAAGGCACATTTTCCCCTTCTTTAAGCCTTGGGTTAGGTGAATGACGCATAAAAACGACTTCCAAAATTACGGTGGTGTCTCGGCAGTATTGTTTATCTTCCATCAACAAAATAAGTTGTAAAATGTGTCTCCAAGCGCTGGAAATCTGCGGGAGTAAAGATTTTATCATTATTCAGAGTTGTTGGGTAGTGTTTACACAAGACACTCTGGAGGGAAGGTCTTCACGGGGATTTAAAGTAAACGGTGCCCGGCAAAGGAAGAAACGACGGACGGGCGCCTATCTGTCTCAGCGTCGTCAGCTGGGCCATCAGGGGGTAATGAGAGGCCCCGACCCTGCATTACCTCCTCAACCCTCCACCGCCTCCCCTCACAAAGTCCAGAGTCGCGTGTCAGTAGCCGCTTACTCAAACAGCCACTCTTATACCAGACACATCCTACGCGGGACGCATAATTTCCTACTTTACTGGGCGAAGATTGGGCGAGCTTTTCATACCCAGCGAGGGAAGGGAACCACTCCGGTTGTTAGTGAGGCTTTGTCCTGATTAATGTAAAAAGGTCATTGAACAATAAACAAGGGGACCAAATTATGTATTAAAGGCAGTATGACACGATGAACAATACGTGTCAAGTTTTTAACCCATTTAAGTAGTTTCTCAGGAAATTAATAACTTGTGATGAGTGAGCAGCCAGTAGTGCAATGGCGGGAGAGTGCGTCACAGTTGTTAATGAGGTGTTATTACTCCTGACTGTCGCTGACTACACCCATCTGTTGCTGGTATTGACCATATCCACCAAATATCAGTAGAGTTTGGCCAGCGTTATTTAATATATCTGGCGTGGTGGTGATATTGAAGGTCGACCACAAGGCTGCAGTCATCCCGCGTTACGACAAAGGGACGAGTGTTTATGGTAGAGGGGCTGAGAGTGTGTGCTTGTGTGGTAGTTTTGAGGATATATTCGTATGTGCTCATGTGTATAATGTTTGTGTGTGAGAGAGCGTATTGTGTACTTGTTTTTATGGGTGTAAATGAAGCGTATGTGTGCTTCTCTAGATGTGTTGCAAATGTACTGTGTAAGTGTATATATTGGTGTCCGTGAACATATTAAGTACGTGAGTGTATTACTTTTATACCAATATACTGTATGTGTTCATGTATACTCGTGTTTATTATTGTTATTCTCGTTTTTACAGATGTTTGTGTCTGCTGTGTTATATCACTCGTGTGTCTGTAAATACTGATGTCATACACTTAGCTGTTCCGTGAGGGGTGCTTGTGGTGAGAACTCATTGTTGTTGTGTAGTGTGTACGTGTGTCTTTAGGCCCATGTGAGTATAAGGATGTGAATTATTACATACACGCGTGTAGATATACCTGAAGCATACTCATAGTATATCTACAGTATACCTCCAGCATATGAAGGCCCCTGGGAGCAGCATGACAGCGGGACGTGGTGAAGGTGTTGGAAGACCCAAAAATGAGAAAATTGTCGGTTATTGTTAAGTGAAGAATACCACAGTTAACTGGAGGAGGGGAGGTGAGGGGCCCTTGTGGAGGGAAGAGGGGCCCTTGTGGAGGGAAGAGGTGGCCCTTGTGGAGGGAAGAAGGGCCCCTGTGGAGGGAAGAGGAGTCCTTGTGGAGGGAGGGGCCCTTGTGGATGAAGAGTTGGTGCCTGGTGGGGGATGAGGGATGTTTGTGGTGAGGAGGGGGAGTAGGGGACGTCTGGTGGAGGGGTGAGTAGGAGGAGGAGGAGGGGTGTCTGGTAGGGGTGAGGGGTGCTTGTGGTGAGAAGGAGGAGGGGGTGTCTGGTAAGGGGTGAGGGGTGCTTGTGGTGTGACTAATAAAGGAGGAAGGAGAGAAGTTAAGGGCCTGGGTAGTGAGTGGTGAGGGACCCTTGGGGTGAAGGGTGAGGGTGTGCACGTTTGAGTGTGAAGAAGAAGAAGAGTTGTGTCGGAAGAGGGAGGTTCCATAGTCCTACTGGTGGTGGTGGTGGTGATGGTGGTGGTAGAGTGTTGGTGGAAATAATGGCGGTAGTTGTATTGGTGGTAATAATGGTGGTGGGAAAGGTGGAGGTTGTACTGGTGGTGGTGTCGGGATGCGCCATTACTACACTAATATATGTAAGTGTTTAGTCAACAGAGAATCTAATAAGCGTAACCTAACCTAACTTTTGCGTCATATGGTCAAACTTGTCAACATTCACACGTAGGTTTCATCACGAGCGAGAAAATGGTTTATTTATCACATCCAAAGCGACAGGTGAAAAACATCAACACAGGTGAACAGATTAACATAATATTACCTCATTAACAATCCGACGCACAGGTAGCAGTGAATTGGTCTCGTAAACTAACAGAACAATCCTTTATAGACAGAAATATGCTCAACCATATCCAAGCTCCTCACGTACACACAACACAAAGATAGAGTCAATAGCCTTAGAAGGAAGAGTATTTGCTAGCAGACCATCTCGTAGTGTTGACAATACCATGATAAATCCAGCTTGCTAACTCACTTCTTTATTTTATTTTCTAACATTCTGATCTTCTCTACATTGACTGCACCACCATGTAATTAGTCATGGGTTATATTTACATTCTGCCAATATCATGTTAATATGTAAAGGTTTTGTCTATCATGAGAGAGAGAGAGAGAGAGAGAGAGAGAGAGAGAGAGAGAGAGAGAGAGAGAGAGAGAGAGAGAGAGAGAGTTCATCCTAATGTGAGCCAACGCTACTAATAACAGTGTCCACACCCACACACAGGCGACAGTCCTCATGTGTGTGCCGGGATGATCATTTAGGCCACTCACAGCTGAGGTGACTCGAGGCCTTTATTGTGGAGGTCGTACAGTTTACCATAGAGTACTGAGTGTTACCTGTTGAACACCTGAGTACTGAGTGTTACCTGTTGAACACCTGAGTACTGAGTGTTACCTGTTGAACACCTGAGTACTGAGTGTTACCTGTTGAACACCTGAGTACTGAGTGTTACCTGTTGAACACCTGAGTACTTAGTGTTACCTGTTGAACACCTGAGTACTGAGTGTTACCTGTTGAACACCTGAGTACTGAGTGCTACCTGTTGAACACCTGAGTACTGAGTGTTACTTATTTAACACCTGAGTACTGAGTGTTACCTGTTGAACACCTGAGTACTGAGTGTTACCTGTTGAACACCTGAGTACTGAGTGTTACCTGTTGAACACCTGAGTACTGAGTGTTACCTGTTGAACACCTGAGTTCTGAGTGTTACCTGTTGAACACCTTAGTACTGAGTGTTACCTGTTGAACACCTGAGTACTGAGTGTTACCTGTTGAACACCTTAACGCTAGTCCAGGTGTACAGCTGATAATATTGACCTGGATTCTTACCTTATTCGTCTGTTGAGTACTTCCTCCTCGTTCCTTTCCTCCTCCTTTTTATTTCCTCTCTCTCCTCTACCTGCTCTTTTTCCTTCATCACCCACATCTCCTCCTCTGTTTCATTATCTCTTTCTGCTCCTCATTTTCTTATTATTCCTCCTTTTCTAGTACCTCCTTATCCTCCTCTTCCCCCTACTTTTTCTTATCTTCCTCTCATCTTTTCCTCCTTCACCTCCTCTCACACTTCCTCTTCTTTCCCTCCTCCTCTTGTCAACACGAAGGAGAAAATCTATCAAACTCACCCATGAAGACTAATAAAAGTCGTATCTCAAGAGTATTATATTAACAAAGTGAATTAATTTCCCTGATTTTAGAAAGTCTATAAGAATCTAAAAGTTTTCTCCTCCTGATGTCTGCCTGATGAGTTGGTTGGACTTTGTGAGTGGTGAAGGAAAACACAAACATAATTTTTAACTTCTTGTGTGTAAGAGTTTGTGTTTGTGTGTGAGTCCTCCATGGCCCTTATTAACAGGGAGATATTTGTTTTAATCTCTCTATTAATAATGTTTCCCTATTTTATTGACAACCAATCTCCCTAAGTTAACCACCTTGTTTCTCCCTCTCTGTACAGTGTTGTTGGTGGCGTGTGTGGGCATAGTACGGGCCACGGGCGGGGACATCTTCTACTTCAGCTCATGGCCGGCCAGTGGGCGTGTGGGCGCGGGCGAGGAGCGGGTGTTGAGGTGTGCCGTTTCCGATACCACCAGCATCAGCCTCGCCTGGCACCTGGACGGCCGCCTACTCACCTACACCTCCAGAAGGCACCTCAGAGGTCAGTGTTCACCTGTTTAGGGGATGTTAGTGGCTAGTGAACACCTGTTAACGGGATCTTAGTGGCTAATGAACACCTGTCAACGGGATTTTAGTGGCTAATGAACATCTGTCAACGGGATCTTAATGGCTAGTGGACACCTGTTAACGGGATCTTAATGGCTAGTGGACACCTGTTAACGGGATCTTAGTGGCTAGTGAACACCTGTCAACGGGATCTTAGTGGCTAATGATCACCTGTCAACGGGATCTTAGTGGCTAATGATCACCTGTCAACGGGATCTTAATGGCTAATGAACACCTATTAACGGGATCTTAGTGGCTAGTGAACACCTGTCTGGGGAACTGAACACAGGACAAGCTCTCACCTACAGGATAACTTCGCTCCAGGTAATGTAATCAAGTGTTGATCCTGAAAATGGTGTCCGGCGAGTGACTGTGTGTTGTCTTAACCAGTTAGGAAGTGTAGACTGTAGAGGATTTTATCTATCACTGTAACATTCTATTAAAGATGTTAAGTTGTGATAGAAAATATGAAGTTTGTTAAATAAAAGCGATAAACGATGGTCAGTGGGAGGGAAGGAGAGTTTGAGGACATTTTATTGTTCACGTGAGGACGCTAAGATTGTTCATACAGAGATTAACCCAATGACTGTTTTGTTGTTGTGTCAGTCACTGGTGCAGGTGACTGGTGGTGGCCACAGTGTCTGGAGCCAGGCTGAGCACTGTAATAATGGTCTCTTTGTTGTCTCATAGCTTACTGTTCTCGAGGTCATGATCAGGACAGAACAAAAACAAGGGAAGGGAGCTCCCAAGCAGGTCACGACACATGAGGTTGTGATAAAACTGTCGCTCCAGATGTGTGTGTGTGTGTGTGTGTGTGTGTGTGTGTGTGTGTGTGTGTGTGTGTGCGCGCGCGCGCTTATCAGTAACAAAAAACGAGACAATTCCAGGTGCAGAGCTCTAGTGATGTAACTGATGACAGCCTCCCGCCACTACCTGAGGTATCATGCTGAAAACTTTACAACAGTAGCTTCTCAGAATGCTTGAACTGTCACACACAAGGACAAGAGAACAGAGACACTATAAGTCTTGGTCAACAACTTCACAAATTTGCAAGTTGTTGTTTCCTGCCTACCAGCCGTGGCTATAACTTTCCTCCTCTTCTCGATAGTTGAAGCCCGTGGGCTGTGTTAGACCATGGCATGCTGTGTGTGTGTCAGTCCTCACAGTACACCCATACCAGCTAGTGGCCGCGGTCAGCTGAGGACGGGCGTGTGGTGCTTCAGGACGGCCTCACACTGACACGGTCCTACTTAACATTATGGAAGATTGACTCGTCTACCAATTGGCTTCCTGTGTGTGGGTGTTTAGTAGGATACAGTAGTTTTATTTTTAGCTCATGATTTTCAAGCAGCCTGCCAGTAGTGAACCTCTTGACACTTCTGCTTACATGTTTGTCCGATAAACTAGCACTGACTGAAGGTGTGAATAATTGTTAGTGAGAAGTTAAAGAAAAAAGAAGATAATTGGAGACCTGTAATGTGCTTCAGTTAGATTTAAACATGTTGATGGAATAAGTATATAAAGATCACGATTAAAACATGTTTATAGGGACAGGTAGTAATTACGATGACGGCGTAACATGATACAGGTGATGTAAAAGGAACTGCCACTGTAACAACTTTGTAACGTGATTCTAGCCATTACTGTATGATAACATAACACGTATGTATATATATTCTCAGCTTAACACGGTAATAACACGTTACCAACAGCGGAAATATAACATTGACTCCATAATATGTTGTAACACGTTGCAGGCGGCCAGCGGGTGGAGACTGCCTCGGACCTGGTGATCAGGAGGGCGGTGCCAGAGGACCAGGGGGAGTATAACTGCATCGCCCACAACACAACCTCCGGCTTCGCTCTGACCTCCCTCCCCGCCACCCTCACCGTCCTCTGTAAGTATATCACACCGTTTTATGTCACGAATTTGTACGTTAAGTTTTTTTGTTTACCAATTTTAGTCCATGATACATTACCTGACTCTTGAAATAAGGGTGACTCCCCAAAAAAAAATTATTGTTTTATGAAGACAGAAGGACAAAAGAACAGAACACGTAGAGATAAAACAGAGATAAACAAGACAGAAGAGATGGAAATAAGACAGACTAGAACAGACAGGAGGATGACTGCAGCAAACCACAACATGGCCGCGTTGTGTGTCCGGACCTGCATGACTGTTGGTAATCACTTACACCGTGAGGTAGTCACGCCCAGGGCTCCCCCCCTCCTCACCTCACCCCTACCTCCCTCCACCTCACCCCTACCCCCCCTCCCCTCCTCCCTCCTCCATCCCCTCCCTCCCACCCTCCCACTCACCCCTACCCCCCCCCTCCCTCCCTCTCCTCCATCCCTCCTCCCTCCCACCTCACCCCTACCTCCCTCCTCATAAACAGATTGGAATTGCATAAGTAGGTTGACAGGTAGATAGATGGACAGTAAGAGAGGTTGACAGTCAGAGATACACAATAAGAGAGGTAAAAAGTTAGAGAAGTAGACAGTAAGAAAGGTAGACAGAGAGGTAGACAGTTAGAAAAGTAGAATGTAAGATAAGTAGACAGGGAAATAGATAGTCAGAAAAGTATACAGTTAGAAAAATTGACATAAGTAGACAGAGAAGCAGACAGTAAGACAAGTAGATAGATAAAGAAATAGACAGATAGAGGTAGACAGATAAGAGGTAGACAGTTAATGCCATCTGGACGCTGATGAAGGAATGGAGACAGTTGACAGGTAGACATATATTACTGTATATGGATCAAGAGGGATATACTGTACACATAGACAGAATAATTAAAATTGAATTATTTTATTTTTTGTTTTCGGTGAGTTTTGTTAATCTTGACATGTAACCTAACCTAACCTAACCTACTATAACCTAACCTAACCAACATCTCGTCAAGGTAGGATTAAGATCACAAGGGTCATATAGACTTACTTACGTCATAAAACGGCAGAAGTCGCAGTGTGTCCACGTCGTATACTTTTATTACTTTATATTTGTACACACACAGCACACACACCACACACACACACACACCACACACACACACAACACACACACACACACCATGTTAAGGGACCACTGCAGCGTTGTTATTGGTGGTGATGGAGTTGGTGGTATAACAATTGCTAGTTATTATGGTGACGATGGTTGTGGTAGTGGTTGTTGATGTGGTGGTAATGGTGGTGAATATACTACAGTATATTGGTTGTCCCTCGTCACTAAAGCCAGGCGTGAATTTATTTAAGGTGTAGAAATATTTGCCAACACAGCATCCACACTTTTAAGTTAACGAGCTGTGTGGTCCGTTGTCAAGGAGTAATCCAGGAAGACCGGACAGCTCGCCAACCGTGGTGGCTAACCATTACCCGGGAACATGAATCGCAAAATGATGATTGTGGAGTTTCCTAATTATAAGCGGTAGACGGGAGCCAATGGTGTAAAAAAACTTGCTCATCTTTTCACTCTCTTCTGGGGACCGAACCCGGGAACACTCGCTACGAGCAGAGCATGTTGACCGTGGTACCACAAGTTGGTATAGTAATCGTCTTAAAGGTTTATTAAGGTCTTTAACTGGCTGGAGACAAGTCATTGACAATAATAGTGGAGGAGGAAAGGAGTACGTGGAACTCTGGTTAAGACCCAAGAATGACTGACGCCTCTTGAGTTTTCAGAGAGTTCCGCGGTACTGTTCCGCTTTATAAAACCTCGCGGGTCGTCCTGTTATGGCTCACCCTTCACAACAGCGGGAGTGAAGGAGTGACAGATATTGATCACTACAAGAACTCTGACCAGGCGGAAAACAGGCGTGACCTGATAATGTTAATGAGATTATTGATGGAGTGGGTTACGTGATCATCTTGTGACGAACATGTAAATACAGCGTCTGTGTTTAACTGAGGAAGGTTGTGACTAAGCATCCAACTCGCTTATTTAATCTACAACACAAAGATGGTCACATAAGGAGTGTCGACACAATTGCATTGAGATTCTGACTTACAGTAAAGAAGCGCGTTCTTATACTTAGTTATGCAATTAGAATCATAGGAATCCGTGAGAGCGTGACCCCTGGCACCAATGTCGTGTTCCCTTAGTGCCCCGGAAGCCCTGAAGTGCCATTGTTTAGTGCCAGTTATATTGATGCACTATATTACACACAGCCTTTGTGTAGGTCGTGAAGCCTTCCTCTACACCTCATCTGTCGTGTTAAGGTCACTACTGAGAAGTTTGATCTCGTTGAAGAATTATTGTGAGTGTACGATGGTCAGGTCCTGAGCACTGGAGGTTCTGTTCTGGTGATATGACTTTGTATATTTGTGTAGTGGAGTTTGTTGGAGGTGCTAACTCCACTACTATCGCTGTGCGTGTACAGTATAACTAAATTGAAGTGGTTC